ACAAAAGTAATTAAAATTCATTCTCCAATCTTAATACACATCTAACACAGCAAGCGTACTTACAAATAACTTTGAGGCAAATACGTTTCTCATCGGATCCACTAGCCCTTCTTCCGTTTCATCACACACAAGGGCAATGATGGTGTTTCTGTCATCGAAAAGTACATGAGAACAAAAAGGTAATTAATGTCGAGGTAATTAGAGGCGAGGTAGAGCGGTAGAGCGAAACGTAACTGGATTTGCACTCACTAAACTGCAGGATTAGTTGGAAAAACTCACGCCACGTTTTCATCCGGTCAGAAGTAAAACCAAAACCAATCGTCACACGTTTTCCCGCGCTTTGCGTCAGCTACATGTCCTTCGAGTTTTGGTTGGTTCACTAGATTGTCCGTGTTCTTTGTAATTGGCTAGAGTGATTAATTTGGTTTTGGTTTTGCGACACTCAGTTCAAAACTTCGATAAAACTGTTGTCTGATCTAGCTAACATAAACGAATACGCAAGATGAAACTGCATTGAGCTTCACATACAACACTATTTTGCGACTGTGCCTCGGGCTGAATCTCAATCCAGGATGATTCACGATTAATTATACACATCCTTCTGTAATAGACCTGGGGAAACCTGGTTGTTCTAAAAAGAAACTCTAACAGGGCAGACACTAGTCTAAAATGTCAGCCATTTCCCACCCTCAGCCTAATTCCCGGGCGATTAGGCTAAGGGTGGGAGATGATTGACATTTCAGGTTAGGCAGACACGCGTCTCTCCATGATTTGAGCGCGTTGCGCGTTTAGAATATAGATGGGCTTGTACATCGCACTCGAAAACTTACGTTTTGCAATCTAACTAAGAAGCAATGCGTGCCCTGTTTCCCAACAAGCGCCTGGGAGCGAGGCAGACAAAAGTGCGTAACAGGTCGACGAAAAGAAAAAACAATAAATAAACTGTTTAACCTAAGTGGTTACATTTGTTTGTTAGTGGCTACACCGTAAGTCAGCTGGCATTGTCCATTCTTGAGAACACAGTCCGACAACTTTTGTTCCCCAATGTCGACGTAGAAAGTCCCAAACCCAGATATCTCTTGAATCTTGCACACCTGGAAAAGAAATGCATTTTGATCTATTTGTCATATTGCTGGATACTCTCCAGAACAGCGCACACGCTAACAAACCACTTCACACGACGTCTTACTATGAACTGAACTTTGTTTCTCGCAAAAACTCTGAAGGGACAGCATTTAATAATCTATGATTTCAGACTGTTAACAGTGCAATGCTCCCCGCGATTAATGAGCGAAGACCGCTGTTTTCATGTTGAATGCATGGCAACTAATGTCTTTGTTGCGGAGGAAGAGAGAGAGAGAGAGAAAGGGGGGGGGGAGTGAATTATAGTGGAGAGTAAAGAGTGACACACGAGCGCAAAGCACGTCAAGAGAGAAAAACCAGTTTATTGATCGGAATATTATTAGGTATAAACAGATATAAACAGACTAGACCTAAAGAGTAAGGAGATCTAAGGACGCAATGAGGACACGTTCTGTAACTTAGCAACCACACTGACCACGAAACCACGGACTCACTCAACTCACCGCAACGTCTTTGCAGCCATTCGCTGTTGTTTGGTTAGGGAGACGTTTAGCTGTCCACGAATCGCAGGGATTCCATCGGAAAGAGTCATTCGTCTGACCTGGAACGTCTGGAGAAGCTGCCTCTGGAATGCTGAATCTGTTAAATGAATGCAATTCAGTATGGAAGACAGAGACAGATGCCGAAGGTTATCTTTCCATCAGTTCCCCTTGGAGATGACGTATGTCCCATCGCAGGCAAACAAAAAGAAATTAAGGTCCCCTCCCCTAGAATCCCATCAGTATAGCACTGTGAGAACTGAAAGAGTACCCCCTTCATTTGCAGTTTTATAAAAACAGATATAAATAAAAGGACAGAAAAGAAATATACAGTTTGAGACTGAAATAACCCGAACGTTTTCTGGTCAGTCTCCAGTTATTGCAAGGTTTCTATAGATATTTAAGAGAATACAGAACTCTTAATAGAAGAGATGCGAACATGGTATGCAGAGAGTAAAAAAATTTTACTTGTTTAGAGACGTTGAAGGCAAGCTAAGTGGGGGTATTGTCTCAGAGAATAGTCGCTGTGTAAGCTATTGTCATCGCAAAGCTTCGAAAGGGAAAACGCGATATTTTGATCTAATTAGGGTAAGGGTTTCAAGACGCACGTTGCAGACCCATCCAAATTTGCGGGGAGCATAATTCAGACTTGGATAGCTCCTAGTCATCTCCAACATCCACTGTGACAATACAACAAACGCCGGGTGTCCACAATCCCGACCCTACCTCAACAAAATTTGCATAACTAGACTGTAAACCAAACACACGCTAGTAAAAGGGGGGGGGGGTACGGGGGAGAAGGGGGACGGGGGGAGGGGAGGGAAGGAGAGAGCTCCTCATAACCCCTTGCATATTCCTTTTTTTCAAAGGAAAATGATCCAAGTTTATTCTGTATTTTCGTACAAAATTTGGGCGCCAGTGCAAATACGTATATACCGACTGGGTCGGCAGGTGGTGACTGGGAATTAAGAAATAGTGTATTTCTAGACCTGTCTACTTCTAGGGGAA